GCAGCATTTTCTCATTTCATTGTCACACATCATTGTTTTTTTTTTTTTATTCAAGGTCTCTGGCCGTAATGTTTTGCTTCTTTTACTCTTTTAGTCAGATGATAACAAAGATTGGATATCTTCTACCTGCAATTATGGCGACAAGTTCATTGCATCAGTAAAAAGAGGAAATGTTCATGCTGTCCAATTTCACCCAGAGAAGAGTGGAGGTATGATTGGATATGATAATAATTATTATCATGTAATCAAGTGGAAAGAAGTTTTTGCTCATTTCTTTCTTTTTTTTATTGATTTTGTCTTTTTTTTTTTTTAGTTTTTCTGTTTTACAATCTTTGAAAGATGTCTCTCGTAATGAAGTTGAATTATCCTGTCTACCCTTGTTTTTGTTGTTTCCTATTCTGCACTTGCAGTTATTGTCATGAATCTAGAATCTCCTGCCTATTTTTGCTGCTTTTGCTTGAGCACTCAAGTAGCATGATTACCATCATGAATTGTAGAAAAAATCTCTTAATTGTCATTTTGTTCTTAAAAATAATCCAGCTGTTGGCCTTTCCATCCTGAGAAGGTTCTTATATCCAAATAACGAGTTGACAAAGGTACCGATCTCCCCTCTAAATTGTTGTGTGACTCTCAAATGTTTTGCCAAAGGCATCTAAGACCTGAAAGCTTCATGTGAAGGCAGAAGCCAGTCCAAGGGAAGGCCTCTAAACTTGCAAAGAGGGTGAGGACTTGATCCAATTGTTCATGTCACTTTTTTATCCTTTATTCATTGAGGTTATATTTATTTGATTTTTGTGATCTAGCTATGAGGGGATACTTTCTATGATTGGTTTTCCAACTTTCAGGTTATTGCATGCCTTGATGTGAGGACTAATGACAAAGGTGATCTCGTTGTGACCAAAGGTGACCAATATGATGTAAGAGAGCACACAGAGGACAATGAGGTCAGGCTATGCAATATTTGCATTTCGTAAATTTCTTCGCTTTACAGACATAATGGTGGTCTTGCTATTTTACTTGACCATATCAGAATCTTGAATCGGAGATAAAAGCTATCAGTAAAGATAGAGAGCAAAATGTTAAATTTATTGTATCTTTATCATTCTTAAAGGTGCGAAATCTTGGAAAGCCGGTAGAACTTGCTGGGCAGTATTACAAAGATGGAGCTGATGAGGTATGTATTAATTCTAAGAGCACTACAGCTTTGCGTTATTCATGTGCGCCATAAGCTAATTAAATTTTCTGTATTTCAGGTTAGCTTTTTAAACATTACAGGTTTCCGTGACTTCCCTCTTGGCGATTTGCCAATGTTGCAGGTATGTATGCAACTGATTTAAATATCAGTGTGTCATCATTTTTACTTTCCATTCTCCTCTATCTTAAACTTATCATATCCCGTTATCTTTTTTTTTTGTGTTGTAGGTACTGAGATATACATCAGAGAATGTTTTTGTACCACTAACAGTTGGTGGAGGCATTCGTGATTTTACTGATGGAAATGGAAGGTAAAACATATAGTTGTAGCCAATTGTTTTACACCTCTTTAGAAGAAGGGAGGGGAGTCATTACACTTTAGTACTTGATTTCCTTGTACTGCTCTAGTGCTTGCACATGCTTCAGGAGAGTAGCAGGTGATTTCTGAGGTTGAAAGACTTAACACTCTGGCTTCTCATTCCTCAGATACTATTCCAGTTTGGAGGTTGCTTCAGAATATTTTAGATCAGGGGCAGATAAGGTTTCAATTGGAAGTGATGCAGTTTATGCTGCCGAAGAATTTCTGAAAACTGGAGTATGTGATACTTGCAGCATGTTGCAAATAATATACCTGCTTATTAATTCTTTTTTTTTTCCTTACGTCTTTTATTTTGCTAACAACATTTCTTGAACCGCTTTCTCAAGGAAAAAACTGGGAAGAGCAGTCTAGAGCAGATCTCATGGGTTTATGGTAATCAGGTAAATTCATCACACATGTTCTATATTATGTCCCATTGCACAAAAATGTGCTTATATTAGAATATTGACTGGAGAATCAAGATTGACTATTCATTTTGAGGATTGTTCGTTTTGTGCTTGTCCTGTGTAGACGATAGTGATATGTTCCAGCGTTTTCTTTTTCAAACCATAGCTATTCATATCAAAACATCGGCATTACAAATTATCATGTAGTAGAGAAGAAGCACTTCTTCGAACAGGTTGTACAGAAACTTGCTGATGGCCAACCTCTTTCTATGCTACATTAGGTTGAACGGTTGTTTGTTTTGTTGCAATACAATATCTCTTTGCTTTTGTAGTCACTTTTGATTTCATTTTCTCTGTCACTCTAAATTGCATAATAGGTTCATCCAAATGTTGTTTTCTGAGCTTTTTTCAACTTTTATCATTGTATTTTCCTCTATGCCAAAAGTAATAGCTAGCAGTTCCTTGATTCTCTCCTGTTAATATGTCGTTTATATGTCTTGTTTTCAATTTATGGGTACTTGTATGGTCTGATTACTTGCTTCATTTAATGTTGATCTTGTAGGCTGTGGTTGTTAGCATTGATCCTCGGAGGGTCTACGTGAAGGATCCAGATACTGTGAAATTCAAGACCATCCCAGTTAGAAACCCAGGTAGGATATCTCATTGCAGTTGCAGTGATATTATCCTGTAGGTTCCTTCTGGGTATTTATTTTATGATCTTCTTATTGTGTAAAAGACTCCTGGTTGGACAATGTGGAACATAATATGTGACTAAAATTGACGAAAATAGCAAATTTTGACTCGGGGAGATTCCAAGAATGCAAGTGTGACGTTGATCATATATACCAAAGCTACCCTTCATTCAGCAGGATCTTTCGAGGAGAATTTTCCAGTTTAAAATTTTCCTTTGTTTCTTTAACCTTTTGGCAGTGCAGAGACCCCTGAGGTTTTGTGGGGGGGGGGGAGGGTGGGGAGTGGGAAATAGAGGATGAAAAAACCATTTTTGGTTGCCACATGACTTGAGCTGGTGAACGCAGAGACACTTCATGTGTGTGGTACAGGTTTTCTCATTTAAAATAGACTAGAAAGTAAAGAAATGGTTTTTTGCCTTGTTGGGGGCTTATTGATTGACATACTGATTACTTTCAGGTCCAAATGGAGAAAAATATGCCTGGTATCAATGCACGGTAAGTAATCATATAACTTGTAGACCTTCATCATGTCGTCAGCTATAAAACAATCGAAGGATAGAGAGTTGCATTCAGCAGCAGTAATTGTTGACATTTGCTATTGGATTGCATGTGAAAATAGTAGTAGGTTCTTGTACTGAGATGCATCATGAGGCTATAATTCAGGAACTGGTCTGATGTAAAATTTAACCGACTTTCACTATATAGTGCTGTTTTGTCCATTAAATATAAGGCAGCTATTCTTAAATTCTTTTGGCATTTCTTCATCTTTACTGGGGAAGAGTGCTGAGGACTTAGGTAGAAGTGAGTTTTACATTTCTGCGGATTCTCTTATCTAAAGCTTTCTACATTCTTATATCAACTTTTTTGTGCTTCTTGCATACTCAATGTACATATTGGTCCATCCCATGGCATTAAATTCCATTGTTTTTAATATTCTAGAGTAACCTTGTTATTATCCTTAAGGTCAATGGTGGTCGTGAAGGTCGACCGATTGGGGCATATGAGCTTGCTAAAGCCATCGAGGAACTTGGAGCTGGGGAAATCCTATTAAATTGTATTGACTGTGATGGTAAGTGTGATTCTATTGCCAGTAACTGGCACTAATAATCATTTAAATGTATGGTATGCATGATGAATCTGTTACCAAATGCCACTGACAATAGGATATTTAGTTAATGAAATCCCAGGGGAATGCATATAGCAGTGGTGGTAACATTTTGAATGACTAAATCGGGAGGCTATTTACTTTGAACAAACCTGGATAGTTGATTCACGCTTTTGCTGTAAAAATATTCGTCTTCTAACATCTCTGCCAAGTTTTATGAGTATGTCAAAACTTTCATTGATCTTTTATTTAATAGTAATGATGAATCTAAAGCCTTTCAAATGCAAATGATGCCCTTCTAGGTCAAGGGAAAGGATTCGATATAGATCTGGTGAAGTTAATCTCAGATGCTGTTAGCATCCCAGTGATTGCAAGCAGGGGCTGGAGCAGCAGAACACTTTTCAGAAGTTTTTAACCAGACAAATGCATCTGCTGCGCTTGCTGCTGGCATTTTCCACAGAAAAGAGGTATTAATTTTGTAAAAGATGTGCGAAGTCCACCTTGTACTCTTGCTTTTTTCCTTTGGTTTCTTTAACTGGTACTTGAGAACTGGATTTGCTTCCTCATTATCAGCAGAATTTCTTGCATTTGGACACGTATACATCACCTGGTGAAACAATCTCTGATGCATCAGGGATGAATTTTGACTCATTGTTTTCTGTAGATACCAATAAATATTAGACAAACTTTTGAACGCATGGATTCTAATATCGGTGGTTTCTATAGATTTCGACTGTTCTAAATTTCTATCATGCATTTTGAGAAATTTCTTCAGATCCTTTTTCTGTATACAAATTATTGGATAAAGTCTCGGTATGAACATATTCATTTTCAGGTGTCTATTCAGTCTGTTAAAGAGCATCTATGCGAAGCAGGGATTGAGGTTAGAATTTAGCTGGATTATGCCATACCAGCTGGAGATGCGGTAATTTTATATGCGCTAGCATGGGAATTACCCAACTCATGTAACTCGGCAAAATGCCCCTAAACCCGTACGCAAAGTTTGTGTTCCAATTCGACTTTTTGACTTCATTATCATCTATGTATAACTTTAAGTAAAATCTTGTATAATGAGCAACATGGTGGTTTTCGATTTTGTGCTTCTACTTTTCGCATCTTGCATTGGGATACAAGCTATGATTATATCTACTACTCTGTAAGTTCTTAAACTGAATTCCTCCAGGTCCTCTTTCATGTTCATGCATCAAGACACCACAAAAATCCAGGAGCAGAGTTAAAACATATGGGTTAAAACTACAGGCGAACTCGCTTCATTGAGATTATTATCCAATAACTTTTGAAACTGAGAAATAATGCTGCCAACTAAGGGATCTTCAAGTTTAGCACAAATTCCAACAAATTCCATCATGCCCAAAATAAAAAGCACTAAACACAAGTTTAGCACACTTAAACTAGCGTCTAAAAAAAACCTTCTCATTTGAAATTAAAACGTGGCTGGCCGCAACTGAAGTGCTAAACATTTATTCGTTTAGCCGAAGTGTGCTTTTAACTGCAGTATATTAAGAATATCTATAAAATCAAACCCCCAAATGACCAATTCTTCATACATCAAGGAGCAAGCGACGTGGATCTTCAACCACATCTTTGATTCTCCTCAAAAAGAGCACTGCCTCTCTCCCATCAATCAGCCTGTGGTCATAGGTCAGTGCAACATACATCATAGGTCTGGGAACTATGTTACCTCCAACAACCATCGACGGTTGACTATTGAGTGCATACCCAGAATTGCCGACTGGAAAATGGCACAAACGAATTGCAAATTTTATTGTTGATAGCGACAAAGAAAATAGCACGCAATCAAACAATGACTTTCAAAGAGCCACACCTGAGGGGATTGATTATTGGAGTGCTCAAGAGGCTTCCATAAACACCACCATTGGATATTGTGAATGACCCTCCTGCCATCTCATCGATTGATATACTTCCATCACTTGCCTTCTTAGCCAACGTGTTGATCTCCTTCTCAATCTCAGCAAAGTTCATCTTATCAGCATTGCGGATAACAGGAACGACAAGGCCCTAAATCATGAATACAGACCGTCAAAAGGTTACAATTTCATATTAGGTGCATATTTTGTATCCCACACCTTACAAGTCGGTAAATCAATGAAAATACACAGACAGTTGTTATGTGGGAATCAGCGATACAGATATTACCTAAACATGTCTGATTATATTAAATTTTAAATATGATCGTTAAACAAAGCAATCCACAGGTAAGAGGGGAACCACTCACAACGATAAGTGTCAAAATAACACAATTTATTGGAGATCTCGACATGCAGAAGCAAAAAGCTGCTAACACATGATAACTAGCCATCCAACTTACATGCATACTCAAGTTTGATCAACAGTAGCATTCTTCTTAAGCAGATAAAAGTATAAGTTCAAGTAGTTCAAGCTTCTTTGGTTCTATCTCAGTCTATTAGAAATTTATACTATTTCTTGCAAGCAGAATGTCTCAGATTACCTTTGGCGTGCCAACAGCTATACTGATGTCTATATAGTCTCTATAAATGATATCATCACCATCAATGACAGCATTTATTATGGGCTGATTCTGGAGTCCGCTAACAGCAGCCTGAAAGAGGGCATGGAAGGAGACAGGATTTCAAAAAAAAGGAGACTGGCCGCAGAGAAAATAACAAAACATACTTCATGATTGGTTACATACTTTTACAAACCCAGACATAAGACCTAGCTTCACACCGTGCTTTTCAACAAAGGCATCCTTGTAATCGGAACGAAGTTTCATCAGATTAGTCCTGCAAAAAGCAACAATTAAACAGAACCAAGTATGGAAATAGAATGGTACATGTGAAGCTTGCACCCAAAAATGGATATTTTTTAGGATGGTAAACTCAGGATTTTAAAGAATCAACCCACTAAAGATCGTCTAGAAGTTCTTTTGAAAAAAAAAAAGCCAAACTTATAGGAATAAGCCTTTGGCATATTTCACCATTCTCAAACATACTGGTCTTCTTAAATTCTATGAAATGTAACTAAGCTTACATATCAACTTCATTGAAAGTTGTCAACAATGCAAAAGTGTTTTGAGAATCTTTCAAGCGTGTGGCAACTCGTTTTCTGAGCCTTGTCATAGGAACCTGTTACAAGGACACATTCAAATGCATTATAGGAGGAAAAAGAATGTCGAAAACATATTGTAAGATCACTAAAATCCAGATAAACCTCAAGATGTAGTGCGATATAAAGATCATGGGCTTACTCGTCTTTCCCTTTCTTTTGGGGAAGCTGGGTTCTGTGGCAGTTACTTTAGGAGGAGGTGGAGAAGCCTTGGCTTCAGTTTTTGGCTTCTCAGCTTTCTTTACTTCTGCAGCAGCAGATTCAACTTTCTGTTTTGGTTGCTCCACCTTTTTCTCAGGAGTAGCTTTTTCGGCGGGCTTCTCAGACGGAGCAACGTGAGTTACACCATCACCAGATTTTGAAATCACAGCAATTTTAGTGCCAGGTTCTACAGTATCCCCTTCCTTGGCTATGAACTATTGCAAATCACATAAAGTATCAGGATTAAGCAATTCGGAAAGAAGCAAGAAAGCATAAAAATAAAAATTTAAAAAAAATAATGAACCACAATTAACTATTCCAAAACCCTTGATTGTTTACCTTTTGGATTACGCCTGCTTCAGGACTAGCAACATCAATTGTCACCTAATGGAAACAAAGAAAATTGAAACATTCACTCCATTTAAAACTGCAAACATTTTAAAGCAACAAGTAAGAACTGAACTATGGAAAGTACCTTGTCTGTTTCAATCTGAGCAATAGGCTCATCAACTTCTACTCTGTCACCAGGTTCTGGGGAAAAAAATTGTATGATCCATCAGAGGAACCGAGAAAGCAAAACCAGAAATACATTGAGGGCAGTAATGAAATTGAGAACCAAAACTGTCTTTAATAAAGGCATAATTGGAATATCGATTTAAGGGAAGCATACTCTTCAAGAACGTTGCCAATGTGCCATCGGATATTGATTCCCCCATAAAAGGAACAACAGCATCAACCAGATCACCTTGAGCATAGGAAGTGGTAAAGAGAAAGAATACAAACATTAGTTAGCAAATGAAAGCCATTACATGAATCCACATCCATATTAAGACTCCACACCTATTGCTTCATTGAAATTGAAATTATACTAAATATATCAGTATGAAAATACTGGACTTGGCCACTAGAAATAATAAATGAAAACTATACTAACAGGTTGTCAGAACTGTACGCAATTCACTTAAAAAGCCTTAGAAGTTTTTGGTTTCCATTAAAGGCTGGGTTACGGTGTAAAACCAATCAAACTACAACACATCTAGAAGTAGACAGGAAAACAACATTTATAAACCATCAAAAGTATGGGCACGTGACAGAAACTACTAAAGGAAGGGTTCAAAATTTTCCTATAAAAGTGCCTAAAACCTTCCAAGAGCATCAAATTCAGAACTGTCATTTTTCAATACAACTGCATTGCCAGAAAAGCAAAGAATGGAAGACAAAGTGCTGTACTATACCACTATTAGAACAAAATGGCCTTTTCCATGTATGCATGGTGAATTGAGGCAGAAAATTGTCTTTGATTCCCCTGCAAATAAAACAGCCAACCATGAATGATAGCATTATCTGCCAACTATACCATCTGACTTAATGTGAGTTTATATACCTTGGATTTTTTGAAGCTAGCTATTCCACATACCAAAAACATCTATTGTATAAGTCCAAGTGTTATTACCCTTGCGGGAGTCTAATCACAAAAACACAATTTACAGACAAACTTTTCTTTGGTTTATACCACGGATTAGGTAAAATCAAACCAGATTGAACGACTCTGGGTGAAACTGTCTCAGTCAACTTGAATAAGGTCAGCTAACACAATGCCAAATAATGCTGTATCAAACTAAATATGAAAAGCACTGTCAATACTCATAGTAATTACATCTCTTACCACTGACAGAAAACCACATGAAATGCAGTACCTAATTGAACTTATTTTACAAAGCAGAATTTGGTTTACAATTAAATCCACTATGCCTTGCCCACATTGGAAATAGTTGTGCAAAATGATAATTAAAAGATAGAGTACTGTGCTAAGCTCTTAAATAATGACTTTTCTTGGAGCGATAATGTCCTCTGAACAACAATATTAAAATTCAAAACATTCTAGTAAAGAAAGTGCAGTGAACTGTAATGCGAAAAGATTGGAAGATCTGGCCAAAGAAGGTGACAGCCCGGTAGATTCGTTCCCATGGGTCGATCCTTCCCAGTAAAACGCGGCGTGTTCGAATTCTGATTGCTTTTATGTCAGAAAGGGGGACCACCCTCTCTAAGCCTAAGTATTCCTCAATGACCGATAGCGTACAAGTTAATAGCAATTATCAAGAGGAGATTAAACAAGAAAAGATACCACTGACCTTGACGATGTCAAGTCCAAAGATCCTATACCGAAAGAAAATAGAAAATAGTTCAAACACAGACATGAGGGAGGGGGCCAAAAAGGAAAAAAAAAAAACACACACACACGTGGCATTGACTAACATAGACACCCGAGATTACCAGAGAAAGTGAAGTCAGAGAAACTGCGAGTGCATCCTGGGTGAAGAAGATCTGTTCAGAAAGCAAAAACAAACAGTTAAGAACAATTGCACAGGAAGAACTAACAGCAAACATAAGCTTTGATGGCCAAACGTAGAAAGAGAAACAAAAAGGAAGAAAACAACTGAAACTGACACTTCAAGAGACAGAAACAGTAAATAATATTATTTGATCATAAACTCGTAGTTGAATAACATCTTAGAGACACAGTACATACATGTTCTCAATACTGCTTTTGAGAATTGTAACCTAACCGAACTCCAGACAAAACTAAAACTGGATAGCAAAGCAATGTCACATATGCTATCTTCATAAGCCAACACCAGAAAATGGAACAGAGTTCTCTGAGTTTCCAAGAAAGACAGCCACCTCAACTCAACCTCTATAACTTAACTCTTACCCAATTTCCATATAATTCCCCAGCTTGTTAAACTATGCAATAAATTTTGTACTATATAAGGCTAAATCACATTTAACTAATCTAAACTCGTCTTAATGAGTTAGAAACGTTTTCTTATCTTGACTAATAAATTGAGTTTATTTGCCTAGAAAAGAAAAACTAATCTAAACTCAAGCAATTTTGACCAAACCTCAATGAAATTACAACATTACATCCTTGAAAAGTATAAACTACTTGTTTGTCTACAATATCATTTTCATATCAGGAACATCATTTGATTCACCATGCCTCTTCGCACGTCAAACTATTATCACCACTAAGCAGTATCAACGCTGAATTGGAAAAGAAAGCAGCGAGTTACCTCTTCAGCTACAGCAGTAGAAACTCTAGGCGTAGAAACCACAGGCCGACTCCAATGCCATGATTTCCTTTTAATCTGCGTCCGCAAACACAAAGGAGATCGGTATTCTTACAAAAACACAACTAAATTTTACTATAAAAAATAAATCTGCCTTCATGCACATATGAATGCATATCTAAACACACATGCAAAACTTGAAGTTTAAATACCAAAGCAGAAGAAGCATCAGAAGCCACTTTTCGCCTTACAACGCCCAGCATCATTGACTTTGATCTCCTAAGGCTGTTTTAGACAATTTACAATACCGAAATTCATCAATCTTAAGAAAACAAATTTAAAAACAAAATCAAAATTATGAACAAGGCAAATCGCAGAGTAAATAAACCAATAAGCAAAATGATTGCGATCTGCTAAGGAAATTTAGAAGAAAAAAAAAAATCGTTTCGCAAATTAATATCCAACTTTCCAGAGCAAATATTCCTTTGTTCACTTTCTTCTCTTTTTTTTTTTTGTAAATAATAGGAAATACCTCGACGAAGACAATGAACAGAAAAGGCTAACAAACGACGGCGAACTGATATAAACAGCGTAAGCTAACAAAAATCCGGAGCTTCTGGTTCGTTATTCTTGTATAGGCTTGACGGCGGCGTTTTTGCACCCTTTGGTGGTCGTCCTCCTCTCTTTCCCTTCTGCAATATTCTGTTCCTTCTGTTACTCAACCTTCTCTCATTTTTTTGCCCTTTAGCTTTTTTCTTTTGGTAATTGATATACAGGCCGACGATTATTTTTTGCCGAGATTGTGGCTTTCCCAAGTCAGAAGTCAAATTGTGACTTTTATAACGTGCATAATATGAGTTGTCGGAAGTGAAATAATTTGCCTGGTCTAGCAGCCTTTATATTTTTCATTAAAAATGAAAATATTATTTACATCTCCATTTTTATTAATCACACTTTCATTATCATTTTAAGCATTTATAAAATTATATAATAAAATAAATAATGGGAGTATAAATAGCACAATGAAATGCAAATAACATTTTTTTAAAAAAAAAATTTCTTCAGAACGATTTTATTGAGAGAATTCTCTGATTCCTACCTTTTTTTTTTTTTTTTTGAGGTTATCCACGATTTTATTGTAATAATATTCATTCACATAGCTTCTGCAAAGGCAATTTCATAATGAGGAGAATTTAACAGTCTAATGAAGTATTTCACTATTAAGTGTGATGGCCGATGGGTCTTGGTGACATGTTTAATTATTTTTAATTGAGATCTAGTAAGACATTAGGAGATGGTAATGCATGAAATTTGCAGAGAAAATCTGATCTTATCAATAATTTAAAGTGTAACGATAAAAAAAAAAAAAAAAAAAAAAAACAGCCTTATATGACTCATAGTTCTGGGCCCTTGTGATGGGGCCTGGGCTGCTACAGTTGCGTTTTTTGTCTTGTCAATTGGAAGACAGTAGTTTTCTCCGGCAAATGACAATGAATTCGTAATAATTGGATATTTAGGGTCCGTGATGTACCCAGACAAACAAAAAGCTAGGCCCCAATTGGCTATTTGAGTGTATCCTAGTGGGCCACAAGCCAACCAGGGTTACAATACACTAACCAACAGGACCATCTATTTGGAATATTTGGCATGGTGAAATTCTTGGACTTCTGAAAGGTTTTTGCAAGAGATATTGAACCAATCTGCAATATACATTTTGGAGTTTAATTGAGCAGCATGTATTTACAATTTACTAGCAGAAACATGGGTTAACAAAAATTAGACCAGCATATCCGGTGTGTACGTTCTGCACAAAGTTCTGGTAAAAAGGTAATTGGTATCACATAGAATGCATTATTTGCACATGACACAAAATTTCGTGACAGTAATTAGATTGGGCCAATTAACAATAATGTATCTCAAACTCCCCGGACCCAGTGAGTGTGGTCCACCTCCTATAGAAAGGAACATATTATCTATTGCTCCCTTCAATTTATCTACGTTCACTCGTTCAATATGAATGAACCTGAAGCTTGCAAGATGAATGGCATCGGCTCTCAGTGCCCTTCCATTTCTATATTTCCGTACAATGACTTGAAGCCCCCGATCAGCTCAACTAAGCTGCTGTGGCTCTCCAAATTCAGTAAATATGAACCTGCTACTTGTGGGTTTCTCTGTATGCATAAGCGGAACAGAGTATTTTGGTTTCCGACCAGAGTTACCTCCGCTCCTCTTTTTCTAGCCGCCACTTCGCCGCCGCCCAATTCAGGAGACTTCTCAGTCCTGTTTCAAACAAGGTCTATTTCTTCCTAACTAACTCCCATTTTGAGATGAAATTCACCCTTCTCTTGATCTCATAAAAGTTCTCCAGGTTGATACAAGCCATCATACTCTATTGGTAATAGTTACGAGTTAATGCTTGAACAATTTTAGGACTTGAAGCAAAGACATCTTTTGATACCCACATTGACAGTATCAGTTTGTCACTGGGGAGGCCAGTTAACGAACTGCAAATATGTTAGTAACATTTCTTCCATGGCATAACCTTTTTTACGTGGCTAACAGTGCAGTGATGCTTTTGATGTACTGGATTGCAAATTTCGTTGTGCCATGGTGGGTTCTAAAAGATCTTGAAGTTGACAAAACAAATGACGAGAGGAAGCGAGACAGAGAAAATTCTTCAGACAACCGGTAAGGGAGCAGACAAGGAAGAAGAACGTCAAGTTCTGGCCAGAAAAGAAGCGGCTTTTACGGCACGATGCAATGACAGCAGAGGATGTTCAGAGATTTATCCATTCTTGTTTCGTCAGCAGTTGATATTCTTGCATCTAAGACATTGGAACTTGTTAGTATGCGTATTATCCTTCTTTGTGGAACAAAATCTCTTTGCTAGTCCTCTTGATCAACGGAGCTCCTCCCAAAAGATGCTATCGGAGTGCATGTTTGCAATGTCTGTTTTCTGCGAAAAATTTGTCATATCCAACTCCTACGTTTTCCATTTCTAATCCCTTGAAAAAATCAGTAAAGATGGCATCTGGGCATTGCTTTTAGCCAATTCCCAAATATATACAATTTACACAATTGTCCAGTCATTATCTACAGAACCAGCAGCTTTGTCAGCTGACGATCCATTACTTGGCTTAGGAGGCTTCTTTGAGAACATTGATGAGAATGGTTGGCGGGTTGGGTTATCCTCCATATTCTTCTTGTCTTTTTGTGACTGCCTATCTTTGCTACCAAAGATGAAGTTAAGCCTTTTGAACTGGTTTTTCAGTTCACCTGCAGGTGTTGTTTCTTCGGGTGGAACTGTACTTTTTGTAGCTTCATGTGGATTTAGCAACATTGCCTCAACTGTTTCATACACCTGCAAAGGAGATTTGACGAGTAGGAATATTAGTAGGTGAATATGCAATCCTGTGAATAATGTATGCTAATCTATGGATAATCCACTCTCTAAGTCTGACTGTATTCATGTTAAGCATAGTCAACATGCAGATCCGTCTCCTTATTGCAGCTTTTAGCTTAAAAAGTCATAGTAGGAATATTAGTAGGTGAATATGCAATCCTGTGAATAATGTATGCTAATCTAAGGATAATCCACTCTCTAAGTCTGACTGTATTCATGTTAAGCATAGTCAACATGCCGATCCGTCTCCTTATTGCAGCTTTTAGCTTAAAAAGTCAAGAATAGAAAAACTATAATCAGCTGATCTTAAGCTGTTGACAAGAAGATCAATTCCATCTATTATTCCAATATGGCCAATACCATTTTTGATACTGCCAATGTAACAGAACAAAAAGCAACAGAAGCTTCTATTTTTATTTTCCCTTTCAAGTTTCTTTTTCTTTAACTTCACGAAGTGTAGGGAAAATGGTTATCATGCTGCAGGACAAGAGTCAGTTCGATGACATGTTGAAGAAGTTCAGCCTCCCTGGGAAATGAATATTGCTGTATTGAAAGCAGTAAACAAGTGGAGGAAGTAATGAAGTCCCAATTCTGAAACCCTAAGTATTTAGCAGGCAAGAGAGAATTCAGGAATACCATATCAGATTGTTAGCAAATATAAATCAGTCAATAACCACACAGTTCCTCGTTCAGCTAAATATGACATACCTGGCATATATCATCAATTTTTTCAAGCCAGTTGCCGCTTTGACAAGTGGCAACAATATAGTCCTTGCATTCATTAAATAGCTTTGACAGATCTAAATTTGTTGAGAGCGTAGACTCAGCGATTACAAACCCTGAACCCAGCTGACATACTTAGATCATCAGTGCCAGTTTGTACCAAGCATGAAATCTTAACAGTATTGCTGACTGGAACAGCTGAACATATTAATTCCAGCCATATGGTTTGGCAATTTCCAAATCCAAGTACATAATACTTACAAGAGAAATAAACAGCTGTTCAAAAAGCTCGGAAGGTGAGATGTCCTCCAAGATATTAAGAATACCTTCCCTACCCAGCAATGGGAGCAGAAAATCATCAGAAAATAATGTCTTTGTACAGTAAAATTGTTTATGTCTTGCAACTTACACAGCAAGATCCTCATCAAAGAGGGGAGTCTGTCTCATTGCAGGTATTGGTTTTGCAGTTTCCCACAGTTCCCGCCATAAATTACCTAGACGTAAATCAACAGCCATTCTATCAGTCAGCTAATTCCACCATAATTAGCACAAAAGTCAATAAATTGGTGAATACAGATGAATATCATGCTAAGAACACCCAGAATAACAAACCACTGACTAATCTATTTTAATATTTTTCACATAAGAAACATAAAATTGTGCAAATTACATTTGATTTCCAAAACAAGAGATGCCAGAAGGAGAACAAAAGAGGCAAATAATCTGCTGGAATTAAAACCAGTTGTTTTCTCTCTTTCATGTTTGGCTTTGCTCCTTTCAGGTAAAATAGTTGATGTCAAATTAGTTATGACAATGTTCCAGGTTAACTAATGTAACAAAAGAAGTAACCTTCTTTTTGCATCCTCCTACTAAGTTGACCTCTCGTTGACAACAAATCACCACCATCAGATGTTTCATCGGCTTCATCATTAATGTCACCTTCCATCCAATCGGGGGTGAATGCCACCTTACGAAATCTTCTAATATACAACCTGGATTTGCTGCCTAACAGAAAACATTGGAGCTTAGGTGTGTAAATCACAATCCACAAATTTCTCACAATGCCGTTCAACAAAAATAAATAAATAAATAAAACAAAAAATCCACAAATTTCTGCTATAGTAAAAGGCCCCAGAAGAATCTTGAAAAGACAGTTATTTACTGCAGAGGGTCACCTTGAAAGCCTGCATGTCAGACAGAAGTTGGGAACAACCAGCACCAACACTGAACACAATAGGACAAAGCAGCATGTCACACTGTGCCTTAAATTACAAAAATTCAAGATATAGTTGATGCATATGAATCACAGTAATTCCAAATTTTCACCTATCTGTCAAATTTCTAAAGAATATGCAAGTAAACAACACAAAAGAGCTACAGCATGGACAAAGGTTGAAGAGTATAATGACTCAAGTGATATTGAAGTTATAGCCACAATTATAGCAGTCCGTACACAGAAAAAACTATTCTGCCACTACAAATTTCCAAAGCCTAACGTATCCATACCAATTAATGTGGAAAAAAAAAGTGTTCCCTTTAATGTTTCCAAACCATAAAGCATACATATATCATGGAAACTAATCATCTCCTTGAAGAACCAAAACAAAATGGGAGACAAAATCTAGGGATGTCAGATATGAGAGACATACAATAGAAAA